TTCTCTTCATAAAAAAACATTGACTCTTGTTACATTTGCGGTGTTTCTAAATGAGAATCTTTCCTCGAGTCAGGTTCAGCGACCGTCCTCCAGCCCTCCGATCACGAGCGACTTGCGTGCGTGAAGAAATCACGAGGACCTTCACTATTACAGAAGATCAGTGGGCCTAAACAATGATCAGTGGGCCAAAATAACGATTAGTAGGCCTAAACAGTGTCAGTAGACCTTAATAATGAGCATTATATCCGAATAATCACAGGTGGCCCTAAATAATAATCAGCAGGCCTTAATAATGGTAGATGCTCCAATAATTATTTGAAAGTCCATTTAAATATAACAAGTGCGTCGTAAACATGCAGCAAAAGTTTCACGCTGCTCTGATGAATATAGTTCTTCAGCTGCCGATGATGAATTCTTGAACCGTCTACAAGCTCAGCGTCCCAACCAAACACGACGATATTTCAGTCGTGAAGTACGAGGTCGACGATCGTATTTTTATCGTAACGTCAGGATTAGAATTTTTCAAGTTAAAATTTTTCTCAAGATTCCTTCAGTTTCTCACAAATAAAATATTTTATGTTTAATTTTCTTAGACAAGTAAACAGTTTTAGTTATATATTTATGATATTTATGTAATAATATTTCGAAAGTTTGTAATAAATAGTGACTTAATATATGACTTACAATTAGCCACATTATTATTCACTCGTAACTTAAAAGCATATTATAGAAATTAAACGCACCCACAAGGAAGACGTAAAACATTAAAAACGCAAGAAATAAGTTGGAAACTTTCGTTTTTTTTATAAAATCATTCAAATTTGTTATATAATAGAGTTTCTAAATCAATAGGCAATGCATCTGCCATTCAACGATCCGGCAAAAAAAATTCTCAATTAATTAAAATATTTTTTGCCGTTGCTTGGGTCATCCTGGCTCAGGTTAGCCCGACAAAAGGGCGGATCATTGCTACGTGGAAGAAAAATATGGGCAATATGACTCATCCCGTTTTCTGAGTGAGTGCTCATAAGCCATAGAAAAAAACCATCAGCTGAAGACAGCGGACATTGACTCGTTAAAAGTTCCATCATATGACAGGAAGACTGTATGGATGGCTAGGATTTTAATAGATAGAATGCTGTACTTTGCACATGTATGTTTCTTTGATAAATATAATATAGTTAACCTTAAATTATAACATGCTTGAACTAAAAGCATCATGAAATCGAGTTTTATTAATAAATCATGAATGAGTTGCAAGGAAAGTTATGTTTAGAACAAAATTGAGGTGACTATTTTAAAAAGCAGTTAGCAAAATTATTTTATTTCATTGAGGGTAAATAAATAATTCATTTAAAATTATTTATTCGTCTTTGCAGCTGAGAGTGCTTGATTCTCAGGCGGGAAACCTAAATGTGAATACTTTCACCCTCTCAGGAGTATTTTGCGGCACCTAATTTGACCGAGACCTGTTATAATGAAGCACGACTGCTTCACTTCCCCAGACGCATTCACACAAATACATCATACATCCCCTGCTGCGATGCGTGCGGATAAAAAACAAGAAATAAATTTTTGGGACCCATGGAAATTACGGACAAAGTCGCAATGTCCCTCAGAGTACATTTGATATATTGGTATATGCAGAAAATTTTTTCGTATATTGGAGATGCATATAACAATTAATGTTGAAGATATTTGCTTAAAATTTATTATAGCCACAAGTATGAATTTTTATTAGTAATTCGTTGCCTTTATGGACATGAAGAAATAAACAAAATCTTTAATCAGGAGCTGAATTGAGGGAATCAATCTAGAATTTATTTCGAATTAAATATAACTGCCGCTTGGGATCAACTTCAAAGATGACGCATATTTATGCATCATCAAAGAAATTTGGAATTTTTAGTAGAAAAATAACAAAGTCACCAGCTAAGTCATAAAATAAAGTCGTGAAAATATTTAATATAACGGGAAATCATTTCCGGTAGGTCTTGAATATCCTGCAAACCCCTTGCGAACCGCTTGAAGTTTTTGCGCAGCGGCTGCGTCTGCTTGGAGCTCGTTTTTCAGATGAAGCGCAGGCCTCTTTTGTGAGTGACAGAGCACCAGCGCGTCTGATGCTCGCTGCTCGTATAAAATGAGCGCACAAAACTGCACCGTTAACATGTGAGCAGGCATGCACGCTGCCTGCTACGTGACATGTCTTGCAACGCGGCCGACTACAGACCAGCGCTCTGATGCAGAGGCGCTGCGTTCTTTCCACGCGTAGTGTAGCTTTCGATGCTACAGTGTCTTTTGGCTTTGAAATCCACACGCTCGAGGATGTAATAAATTGTGCGGTTTATAGAATGCATCACCGTTCTGAGAAAATTTCGAGGGAGACAGATATTAACGGTAAGCGTTGAAAATACAGAATTGTTATTATGATTTAAGGTCGTGAGATCATGCCTAAATCATCGTATCTCTCGAGGGTACCGAAATAATATGAAATTTTCTTACCGATTCAAATTTATTATTAAAATAACACAAGGATTTAGCAGCAACAAGTTCATTAGCATCGGTGCTTCTTCCCTAAATTCAGGGAAAATGGCTTCAAGTCGTGAGACAAATAATTTTTTCAGTCTTTTGTTGTGAGAGTGTAGATATGGAGACATTATTTTACCATTCTTAACAGGAATATTTTGAAGATATTATTAACTGAAACCTGCAAGATGCATCGCAGGCTAATTGCTCTGCCAACACTTCGATTAACTCCAAGTCCCATCATAATGGCGTCATTAAGAACACGAAAGCCAAGGCACTTTGAGATTCTTGGCTGGAGGTTCCCACACTATCGCCCCTAATCAGGCAGCTGAGCAAGAAAATCAGTCGGAAATGCAGTCCAGGGCCCTATTTTACCGAGTAACCTGGATGCCTACTTCCCAGGGTAGCCGAGACACTTTATTTACCTGCGACGTCGCTGTAATGAGCCAGACCCTGTTGCCCCCGATCGTAAACACAGATGCGCCTTACATGGGAGACTTTTACCTCGTTAAATTATTTAACTTTATACGTTACGAGCCTGTTGAACCTGCCCGTTTTCAACGCTTAATGCGTCACAGTAAAAACACGCCACATATGCTTCCATCTGCCCCCATGTTATTTAAAACTAATCAAGACTAAAATTTATAATTAGATCGAGAATTTAAACATAGCTGAAACTTTTCTTGACAGCGATATTTGGGTAATTTCTAATAGAAAGAAAGAGCCGTAGGAAGTAGATCGATTGCTCACTTCAAGCGGAGGATTGGTACTTTGCATGTATTGAAGTTTCCTGATGGTTATTTTAATGCGTGCACAGATCACGGAATAAAATACATTCGTTATTTCAAAATATTCGTTTAATCTGTTCCTTACTTTAAAATTCCGGAATATAAAACATAATTTAATTTAATCATTAATATCGTAAAGACTTCATGGCTCCCAGAAAAATTAAGTAATACATTCTATAATTTTTCGTCAATCTGAGTATTAAGGGCAAAGTGAGACGCTACATGAATTTGTCAGAAGCTCAAATGCCGTATGCCCTTACGATAATATCGAGACGAGATACTGAAATAAATGCTTGAAATTAGAAGAGATATCCGTCGTTCTCTCCGCCTGCCAAAAATGATTCCTCAAAATTGTTTGTTAATGCATCGCGGTGAATTTTTCTAAGCAAGCAATTACTTGGAATCAACCAAATTAGAGCTGTGGCAAATTTATGTGCAACTAAACTTTGATTATATTCATATACATAGGGAATCTGAAGGTCATGTTCAAAGTTACTGTAAGATATTGGTTGGTAAATATATTTCAGGTTTAGAAGGATGTAGTTGCAACCCAAATTTCAAGTTTGTTCAGCCAATGATGTACGTACGCCGCATGTTCTAGGAGCACAGCCAGCCATCGGTCAGCGTACGTGTGGATTTTTCTGGGAAGAAAGCTTCTTCCGAGAGCTGACTTGGATCGAGCGATTACAGACATCTTGTACGACAAGAGTTTCGTTCCGGTCATCTGACTCCGGTGGCGGAATGAGACAGTTCCACGGAAGCAACAAGAGGCAAGTAGCGCAAAAAAATCTCTTGAACCTCAAGGAATGTTGGGAAAAATACGTCCCATTAAATGGACAGAAAAATACTGTCAAAAAGTCTGGGTTTAATGGAAGTGGTGAAATAAAACACCTACAGACTTTCGGAAAAATACTGGATTGAGACTGTATTGGTATTGTAAAGAATACTCAGAAGCATACATAAAACATGATATTCAGTGAAGATTCCGATATATTACGGTTACAGCCATCTGAAGCCATAAGCGGGAAATGATAATATTTCATTCACACGATTTTCATCTGTCGGGAAGTATTAATCAAATAAGCCATAAAAGTGTTAAATGGGTCTATGAAATATCACAGCTGTCATCAATAAACGCAGACATAGGCCTAATGTCCAGTTTTGACTAGCATGAGCGTGTCAAGGCGGCGGCCTTCAGAACCTGTTGCATCGCACGGCCTTAGACGGCCTTGCCTTCCCTGGCCCAACCCAAACCTGTCCTAGGCGCCAAGCAAAAATTGTCATATTTACCACAAGAGCGAGTGGAAATTTTCTCTGCCAAAGAATATCATTCAAAAACAAAATTATTAATGTTTAATGTTGTTGAAGACATTTAGACTATTGTGTAATTACGCTCAAAATTCGAAAAAATATTGCACTCTTTACAACTCTCTGCATAAGTTGAGCGAGAAAACATATTGGTAAATCTGTGAAGTGTAAAGCGCGCCAGAATATATCAGTGCGTTTTTAACGCAATTGTGCAACTTGAGCTGAGAAAAAAAACAGAATTTAACTATTTTTGGAAGAGTATATGTAGCCATATTAAAAAATGATCCTCTGTTGGAAGCCAAAGTCTGACTCTGGTAAATATTGCCGTGTTAATAGCAGGCCTCGCGCAGAGGAAAACACATCAGTTTTCCTTCTCACCTTCAATAAGAAACGGATCCGTGCGATGGATGGTGGTTTTCTGCCGAGTTAAGTCACTCACTCAATTTATTGATTAATTAGTGATTTCAGCCAACTGGCATTCAATCATAAGTAATATGAATTCATCCAGTGCAGTTTATGCAAAAACACTTGGAAGAAATTTTATTTGTCCTTTTTAGAGACAGTAAGAAATGTATGCGAAGAATCAAGGTTTGAAAAGTTTTTTCTTTTTTGAATCGGGTATTTTAACCAGAGTTACGGATTTTTTGCGTAAAGAGTTTGGAGGATGGCAAGTTGTGGATTGATGGGTTTTGGAAGATCGCAGGTACGGATTTCCAGTTGATTAACAGAAAATTAAATCGAGCTTTGAGACTCAGTGAAGTTTGAACCGAGACGAAGTGTTGACTGCACGCGGTGCTCTTGTTCTGAGCGTCTGCACCTGGCGACACCCAACACTAGACTGACGAAGACTGTTACGAGCGGCGGCTCAAGAGGCTTTTAGCGGCCGGCACCTTGGCAGCGGTAGAGCAGCTGCAGCACCTGCAGCAGCGCCAGAGCAGCTGCGGCACCTGCAGCAGCAGCGCCAGAGCAGCTGCGGCACCGGCAGCAGCGCCAGAGCAGCTGCGGCACCTGCAGCAGCGCCAGAGCAGCTGCGGCACCGGCAGCAGCGCCAGAGCAGCTGCGGCACCTGCAGCAGCGCCAGAGCAGCTGCGGCACCTGCAGCAGCGCCAGAGCAGCTGCAGCGCCAGAGCAGCTGTAGCAGCACCAGAGCAGCTGCAGCAGCGCCAGAAAAAGTACTGCACTCTTCACAGCTCTCCGCATAAGTTGAGCGAAATGACATTGGTATATCTGTAATGAGTAAATTGCGCCAGAATATTCCAGCAGCTGCAGCAATGCTGCAGCTGCAGCACCTGCTTCAGTAAACATCATTAAACAGTATTGTTGCAGTAACTGCAACTGCCACCGCAGCTGCAGCTCTACCTTCAGAAGTAGAAGTCCGTACGTGCAGCGATTTTCGACCCTAGCTCATTATACCTTGTTCAGAATCGCGAACGATTTCATGGAGTTTCCTGAATTTACTTGCTAAGCAATAGTTAATATAACGCACGGTCCTTAAAATGCCCAACCACTGCACTCGTGGTGGCAAACAAGCCATGCCATTAAGGAATAAATGAAAGAATAAACGTTTCTCAATTTCATGAAGAATTTACTGCGATATCTTCATTCAAACTTAGAGTATCATCCATCACAGTGAATATCCTATTGAATTTGTATCACATTTGTGTATAGGCATCATCACTTATAGGCATGACCATGTCGTCTATACAGTACCCTTATTCAGCGGTGATGTCAATCATGATTCTATCACAATATCCTATAGAAGACCTCAACTTATCTCAATTACTGGCCATTATGCACATCACATTATGCATACGCATGGGCATGTGTTTAATTAATTGCTTGCAAAATACACGTCTGAAACGAACACTCATTCTCTCACCTAAGAATTGGATGACTATAAAGGCGCTGCATATTATGACCTTCTAAAAATTTTTTTGTGTTTAGTCAATCTCAAAGATCCTTCAGTTAATCCATCAAAGATTGTAGGTGGCTCGCAGAGTTGATGCAGTAAGTAATTTATCTTCTATTTAGCATTAAATTAGATTTGAATTTAAATCATACTGCACAAATTGAAGTGTAGAGACGAGATCGTGATGCTGAACTTTGCGTTGGTATTGAATGAAGCTCATTCAGCGCAAGGATGATGACCGTACAAAAAAGAAGAAGTGATTGGGTCAGCGAATGTTTATGAATTTTTATATTCATTAAAATTTTGTAGTTTTATTGAATACAAACCTTTTGTTTGTATTCATTAAAACGTTTTTTAATCTTTTCTTGAAACGTTGCGGCTGTAGTGATTTCAATAATTGGATTGACTTCAAGCAAGGAAAAAATTCTCATTGATACGGTATATAATCCATAATTTTCTCTTTTTCCCATATAATTATAATTACTCATCAATTGCTTGGAAAGAGTAGAATCAACACCGCAAGCCTGGTCTGTTGATTATTTTTTGACTGTTGAGTTTTTAATTTCACGAGATAACAGTTGTGTTGAGGCCTCCCGAGTAGCATGCCCCACCTCATTGGATGAGGCACGCGATTGAAGGTCCAGATTTCAATTCGTGTCCCAATTGAAAGAAGAGAAGAGCAATTTAAGTGGCTTTGTTGATTGTAGATCAGCAAGAGAAGAGTCTACAGAGTCTCTCCTTCTCTCCGCCCTATCAAATTGATGGTCCAGACATTGCATTCCTCGAAAAGGAACGGGATACAGGATTTTTGTAACGGTCAGGTGCTTAGCACAACCACGAGCTTTGTATTCCTCAAGTAGAAACATTGTATCATTTCAAATCAACATGAGACTGTGTTGAATCGATTCAACACATCTATAATACTTTGAATCATTTACTTTGTAATACAGATTAGTTCTTCGGGGCATATTTCACTTCACACTCTCTCCAAAAACATATTCTAGTTCCGATTTTGTTTTTAAAAAGAACCACGAAAAGGTTAGCTTATATTATAGGGGTTAACTTATGCAACGCACGCGCGCTCTGCCACTCGCAATTTGATATTACAAAGAATTCTACGGGTAAACGTACAGTCGTCTGGTATTTCTTCCGCCTTTTAAGGTGCTTAAGAAAAGGAAAACCTATCGTTGTTTAGATGTTTAACGCATTATTACAGCCATGTGTACACTGGACCTATTTAGTTCCTGCATGGTCACATTATTCAGTATGACTTTTATAGCATAACCGAACTGCTACAATAATAGCGCTGCAAAAAAACTAGCTCAACCCTTCAAAGATAATTTATTTCGCCTGCAAGTCGAAGAATTTTCTGACAGGTAGTTGGTCACGTAACTTGTGATGAATGGCGATCAAGATGTCGGTGAAATATATTTTTTTCAATTGGAAATTAAGGTCAGGTTTTACAGGTTGAGATTTCGAGAATTTCACTCGAAAATGGAATTTTCGCTCGAGAATTTTCCTCGCTGTCTAGAATTTCGCTTTCGTAAAACGGGTTTGTGAAGAAAACACAGAGACGGGAATTTTTCGTTCGCAGATGTCATCGAGCATCAGATTAACCAAACATCAAAATTTGAAAATTAAACATGAAAATGTCATTATTATTGTCCGCGATAACTTGCAATACAAAAACAAAGATAGTGGAATGACCTCCATATGTCGAATTAAGATCATAAAATGAATGTCAGACACACTTCACATCAGTAGCCGCTCTTCAAATATTGATTACATCGCGAGAACTGGTGATACTAGCTTGGACACTAAAGTTAAACTAGTCGTCATTAGTGGCCACTGCATAGCCATCGCAGCCTTTACAACACAGTAATGCAGTAATAGTTTTTGAGAAGCTAGAGCAACAGTAAATCCTAATTCTACTCCTACTGTGTCACCACTGCTACTGTGTCACTACTGCTACTGTGTCACCACTGTGCTAGTTGTAGCACAGAGGAGCACAAGCAGCACTAGTGTACAGCAAAGACGCAGGCAGCGCTAAATGAAGCTCACAATCAAAGTAGATGTAAAAACAGTGGAACAAAAATTGTAAATGGAATACGAAAACCCACACAGCAGCACTGAAGTACATCAGCACTACATTACAACAACACATCAGCCGTTCAGTATAGTACACTGCACGCTCTTAAGCGTGCTCTCACCAACCAACATAAGCGTGCTCTCACTCCAACAAAGCAGTACAATAGCATGACCAGCACCCCATTACAGCAACACTCTAGCACCACAGCATAGCTGCAGCACCCCAGCACAACAGCAGCGCCACAGCAGCACCACAGCAGCACCACAGCAGCACCACAGCAACACCACAGCACCACAGCAGCACCACAGCAGCAGCACCACAGCACCTGACCAGCCTCGCACGCTCGCCTGCTTTACCGTTCGCTGCGTGTGAGCGCCGCGGCAGTCATGGCTGGTCAGCGAGCTTCCTTCCTGGCTTGCCGCTCCAATTAATTTTTTTACTATACGAAATTCTTCCTATTATGATTAGTTGATTCATTTCTAGAAAAGATTACATTTTCCAGAAAATAAAAAAAAATCGCGATTGTCGTTTGAATGAAATGCAGTCGCATGACAAATCAGGCCTCGATGCAATCATATTCATATGTGTTGGCATGTCAGTTAGAAAACTCACGCGCCACAACCTGCCTATTCATCACTCAAGTATGCGTATGATTTTCATTTCGGCCTTGCCAATTCAATACAGAGGTATTTGAAAGATAATTAGATTAGAGTGCAGTCAAATTTGTTCAATTTTTTTTAAATAATAAAGCCGGAACACACGCAAAGATGAAGAATTAAAGGAAGAATTAAATTTGAGCGAGGTAAATTTTTTGTACTAAAGCGAAATTCGAACAATTTGAAAGCCATGAGTAATTGAAATGTTAAGTTAAATACGACAGTTTGCTATACATAGTGTAATTAAAAGATAATTTGAAAACTCCATACAGTAAAAGTCTTACTAATTTGCTTAATTGCAACATTGCAATTTGGAGTTCTCTTTGGAGTTCTAAGAGTCAACAGAAGAATAAAAAAATTCAGTGTCAAATCAATGTGCCGTGAGACACCCATGATATTTCGCTGCTTCCGGCCTCCCTGGCCGCTATGGCATCATATTTGTAATTGAGGTTACAGTTGTGGTTAACAGGTGTGTCGTAACACAAGATTGTTTACGATATTAACGATACGATAAGTATTACAGGTACACGACGGCACTGTGACATAAGGGCAAGGCGTGCAGGGCAAGGCTCACAGCACCGACGATCCATAAGTTACTAACTCGAACACAGCACAGAAATGTCAATCCAAAAATAAGCTCATGGTTGAGCCATAATATTGCCTTGCTTAAATATCCAAAGATGAGTTCAGATTTATTGTAAAAGATTGAAACATGCACTTTATGGAGGCCTTTTAAATTGAAGTTTTCTAACCGAAATGAATTAGACGTCAGTGCGTCATTAAGCCTGAAGCGCGGAATATAAGCCATTACTCCGTCATTCGGTCCGCGCCAATACAATGAACAGGCGTGTACTGTGCACTCGGTCATTTAATATTTAAAAATATGGTCAAGTCATTACGTCTCTAATTAAATGGCTGGCAATGAATTCGTATGAAGTTCAATCTGTATGAATTTAGGCGCCGGGAATTCTTTGTTTTCATTGTGTTGTAAGCACGAATTATTTGAGAAATGTGTTTGTAATCAACTTTATCTCTCATGCAGAAAGACCTCCGAAGTTTGAACTTAAGACTTCAACTTATGCATACATTGTTAATCTTGCTCGTTGACGAATGAAAGCTTGATGCACCGTTGTCTTTATTCTCATGGTCTGTGTTGCCGCGTTGGGTGTGACGAATCTAGTGGG